TCGACTAGTACTTCGGTCTCCTCATCGGTCCAACCACTGGTGCTGAAGGTGAACTGCGTCTTCAGAGCCTCGCCCTCCTGGGGAATCGCCACCACGACTCCCGGTGTCGGAGCTGCATCCACCACGAAGGGGAGGGACCTCAGCGAGAAGCAGCTCCGTCTGAAGGAAGCAACATTCAACAAAAGGAGCCAACAAAAGAAACGTATGTAGTCTAAATCCTTAGTGAAACAGTGTAAAAACATGTAAAAACCGTGGCTCTCCAGGATGGAGGCTATGATATACAATGCTGGGCCAAGCCTTTTTTCGGGGGGGGCGGGGTAATGCTTTTATGGCACCCCCGCACACGTCTGCAGCGTACGTCACGGAGCCTGTCAGCGTACGTCACGGTCATTCGGTCCCCGTCGGGTGAGGTGGCGCCCGGTGCGACGATCCACTGGGCATCCGGGCATTGAAATCGAGAGACCCAAGGCTGCAGCATCTTGCAAGGAATCGGATTCTGCCCCCTGAAGCAGGAGTGAGAAACTGTCAGCACCTTGGTGTCAGCTCTGTTTGAAGGATGGGATCAAACAGATCTGTTCGAGCTGCGATGCTGCGCTGCAAGAGAAACTGCACCAACTGCACGAGTGCCGTTGAGTTTGGGCTCTAAGCGCAGTACGCAGGAGTGCATAAACGTAGGTCATCGAAGGCTCGAGGGCACTCCCATCGAAGGAAGATGTCGTCACTAGAACGATGCCTGCACCTAAGAAAACGAAAACCAGGAAAAAAGTAGCCGGGGACGTCCCAACTGCAAAAAGGCAAGGAAACACTGCCACTGCAAACGTCCAAAGTTTGGCAGCCTCTCTTTTGATCTCTGTAATTAATCACTTTTGAAACCCGATCTCTACGCCGGGCTGCTGGGCCGCGAGGATTCCGCGTTCAAGCTTGCCACGATCCGATTGGTCACCTGATTCCGCCGGCGACCGACGCGCGACCGACGGCGCCCGACGCCGCACGCCGAAGCGCAGACCGCGCGCTCGGTCGCGCTCGGGGGGCCGACTCCATCCGTGGCCAGCACCCACTGGAAGACGGCGGAGCTGGGAACCTGTTCTGTGGCTTCAAAGCGGGTTTGGGGCATGAGGATGGATCGTGGTGTTCCAACAGAAGGTGCAACTGAAGAGATACTGGGAGATAGCTGAATAAGTTACGTTCCATACTACAGCTTCAGAGTTTGGCCAATCATCAAGTTGGGCAGAGATTTGGCGATCACAAAACAACCTCACAACCGAGGCGAACTGCAGAGTTTGTGCCTCGCCTGACACTCTGAATTTGTGGTGCCAACTCGTGCCAGGACCGGACTCACCAGGCTCGTTGCCTCACAGCGGCAGCGCGGTCTGCGCGCAGCGCGGTCTGCCCGAGCGGCTCCGCCGAGTTCCGAACTCGGTGCATCGGTCCACACAGGCCAAGCTGGTCGAAGCCAACTACCCAACAGCTTCTCCATCAACCTTCACCAACCTTCTCTCTCCAACACCCCAACCACCACGCGGCTCGAACCGGCACTGCGCGCGTTGGCCCGCTGTACCCGCCCCGCACCGGCTCTCCGGCCTGCTGAGAGAGAGCTTCGAGGCGGCTCCACGGTGAGGAGATTTCCACCGGCAAAGGTCCACCTTCGGCCACGACCACAATGGCCTCCACGGTTTCGGAATCTGTGCGGGGAAAAAACAGAGATACAGTCAGGTACAGGACGTCATGCGTACGTGGATTTCGGAATGAGAATGAAGAGACAAGACATTGAGTCTATGTGTGCGTGTGTGTTTAAACAAGCATGTTTTAGGCATCAATCCTTGTGTCGTGTATCTTGAACCTTTATAGTGTCACATGCCAAGCCTCCGCGTACGATGATACAGAAGGCAAGTTGGGGATTTGTCGGGTCACGGTCACACCTGAGCGACAAGGATTGCCCACAAAGCATGTAAAAGACTATTGTAAAATAGATCACAACTGCAGCCTTACAAGTGCATTGAATGCCAAGACACCGAACTTGTAACTTCCCAAGACAGCTTGAGAAGAATCCACCACGAGTCGTTTGCCCTCGAGTTCTGGGCCAATTGTAGAATTGCAATCTGCCGGGAACAAGCAAATCCATTTGTAGCTGAGAGTTGCTTCAGGGTGCAAGCTACCTGCGACAGCACAAGACAGCTCAATTCCGCAACCTGCTCCCACTGAACGAGGCCCAATGATTTCCAACTCTGGCAAAGGATCAGTGACAAGGACCGTGTATGTGATTGAGCTGCTTTGAGATGCAGAGCCATCCACCTCCACCATAGCACGGAACTGATGACTGCCAGGAACTAAGCCATAAGCCGAGAGACGCAGAGTATTGGGCAGTGGGGAAGCATCAACAAGACCGGCGTCTTCCAATGTCTGCCATGCAGAGGAATCACTCGCTTCGCTTGCTTGATATCGCCAAGTCGTCTTCAATCGGATTTGACTTGTATCACTCGAGGCACAGGACGATGTGAGGCTCGTGACCACCTCAAGACGAAGTTCCTCTTCAAAGTTCTGACTAACTTCAGTGGGACCCGAGGCCATAATGCTTGGAGTCAAGTCCTCCGTCCCAGCATCGATTGTGAGAGAGGAAGTCACTTGCGTAGAGTCACCACTGGAACTGGTCAGCTGAACGATGAAGTCAAGCACCAAGCTTTCTCCAGAATTGGCGGCCAACAAGTCTTGCAGCAACTTGGAGGAAAGCGTCAAGGTTGAAGCCGATGCAGCGGTGGCGCCTTCGAGCACACTTTGGAGGATGGAAGAGAAGGATTGGGATCCGGAACTCAGCGTCCACTGCTTCTGAATGGGTTCAGCAGCTCCCGTGGCAAAGAGCAGTAGAACCACTTGGTCACAAGGCCTTGCAACTGATGGTTTTGCAGTCAAGGTTCCACCCAGTACAGCAACCGGTGCGGAAGGCCATACATCACTTTCTTCAGAGAGATCACTGTTTGCCGCAGGATTGCCACACATGACGTCCACCGTGAACCTATGTGAGTCTGTCTCATCCATGCCAAAGGCCACGCATTCCGGTTTTGAGAGGTTGAGCAGCTGGGTGCAACCAGCCACTGGAACCGCGGTGCTTCCAATGTGTGCCAGCACGTGCCAAGCCAGGAAATTGCAATCTCCCAAGGGCAGCACATTCCAGTTCAGTTGAAGACGATTGTCTCCCAACTCCTGCCAAGCAATCTTCTCCGGCGCAGTGGCTGGAGTTAGGCTTGAGGTACTTGTCAGGGCCAAAGTGGCAGTGATTCCTGCCTCGGCTTGGAGCGCACTGGAGACACCAAGGATCACATGATTGGACGTTTCGTTGTCACTCTGCGTGGCGCCCTCCACCGTCACAGCGAAGACTGTGGCGGCGCCCGTGGTAAGGCGTCGGGAGGTGCCAGAGGCCTGCCCGGCCATAATCTCCACTTTCACCCTGGATGCTTGCACATTCAGTCCTTCGGCAGTATGACTCACGATGCGTGAGATCACCGCGTTCTTGAGCTCCGCGGATGTCATGACATCGTTGTAGCTCACCGGGGAGATCATGTTGATGGACAAAACACGGCGCTGACTCACTTCCCAGGATTGAAGTGTGGCCAAGGTAGATTCTGGAACACTTGAGACACTGTAGGGACTGGAAGCCAACGGATCAGTACACCTGGATTGTACACGGAAGATATACTGAGTATCAGCATTCAAACTTTCGGCTTGGCAGTGGTACGCATTTAAGCTCAGTCCTGTGCACCCCTGTGGCGCGAACCAAACGCTTTGCCCTACTTCTTGGGCCTCCACGCCAGACTCCACGAATTCGCAGTCATTCAGCACTCCAGAAAGCCAGGACACCAGCAACCTCGGCCAAAACAAACAAATGGTATCATAATGGTATACTCTTAAAGCTTCAGAGCCGACCTATACTATACCATGTCTTTCCGCCGCAAGACACATTTCAACCCAGATCAATTCTGTCGAGAACCCTACTAATGTTCACTGTCCAGTGGCCTGGAAGGTGTGTTTTTGTCCTGCGATCTTGTTCATTCATTCAACGTAACTGTCAGCACCACGGCAGTGACTGGGCTGTCTCACGCGGTCACCACCCCCTTCTGTTTGCACCCCGTCTCTGACGCGTCTGCCCAAAGCGACGCCGACGGACCCGTGGGCTCGGCACCGCGGGGTCGGCAGCACCGGTCCGTTCGAACAGACGTTGGATTCAGAGCTTCTGCAGGTCCGTTGGTGAGCCTGCTCGTTCGCTGGCCCGTTGTTGGGCCTGGCCGGGCCTGGGGCCTGGCCGGGGCCTGGACGATGGACTTCAAGCCATCTGTCCCAAGAAGAGGACATTGACTAAGCCTTTTCTACAAGAATATTGTCAGGGCCAATTGAGTACGCCCTTGTAAATTGTAACATTAGTTCGAAGAAATAGTTCGAAACGCCATCCTCGAACAAGCGTTCCACCTTAAAGTTTGAAGCTTCGGATCAAAACGGTGTCGGGTGCGTAGCAAGCCCGGCGCGATAGTCACACTAGTCATTGCAGCACTTGCAGCGCCCAAATCACTCCGCTTAACCCCGGGTACTACCAGTAGCAGCATACCTTGGTGATCAGCAGACGGCTCAGCAGACGTCGATAGACATCGCCCAACATGGCGAGAGCATCGCATCAAAGCACCTCAAAGCAAACTTCACCAACCCACCGAGAGCGCGCATAGCATGAACGCCTCCCGGACAGTGACCAGCAACCACCAGGGCAAGCTGAACAGAAAGTGACGGTCTCTGGAGGTGGAGACTGACCCGACCCCAAGCCAGCCGGGCCCAGCGCCAAACGACCCAAACCGGCCGCCGGCGGCACTTTGGGTGGTATTTCCCCGGTGCTTTCAGCGTTGCTTCCAAACAAAAAACACGATAAGAGAATCTTGTTGGATGGTCGAGAGACACCAAGAATGAGTCCAAGAAAGATGGAAAAACAAACAAACATCTGGCACTGTCGCAACATGTTACAACTAAGAGGGAGACGTGCTGGAGCCTGGAATTCGAGCTCGAACTTCTGTGGGAGCAGCTGCAGGCGAAGGCAAGGTGACCACTGCCGGTGAGATCTCACTCCACAAGCTCTGAGTCTCCTCCAAGCTGCACAAGACACGGACCTTGAACTGATAAGGAGTTCCACTGCTCAAGCCTGAGGCCAAACAGCTCTCAGAGGTCTGACTCACTAATCCTTGACAGCCACTTGGTTCAAACCAGGACTGCTGTGAATCACTTTGATCCACCATCTGTGCGACGACCTCATAGCGCATGAAAAGCCCAGTACAATCATTGAGAGCTCCACGTGTCCACGACACCGTCAACGTTCCGGTGCTGGGCGCACTGCCCAGGACCTCGCTGGGGGACGTGGCGCGATTGGCCACGCGGTGATCGGCAAAGGCCTCGTAGTAGCCGCTGGGGTTCAAACCCAAAGAGTTCCAGCCATGGATCACGAATCCCGTCGCATCGCTGGGAATCAAGGTGTTCTCAGGCACGTGGAAGGTGGCGTACAAGCCGCCGGATACCTCGAAGTATTCCCAAACACTGCCACCATTCGTGGCACAGTCTCCAGTACAGTCTGCACCGATGCGTATGCTTTTCGTGGACTCGGAACTTGAGATGGCTTGTACAATCTCTGGGCATCCCTGGTTGTCGGCAAAAGTCACTGAAGTGGCCCGCACAGTGATAGTCACTTCGAACCATGTGCCCAAGGTGCAAGGTGCTGCTGCATACACACCCTCGGGAGAAATCAAGACTTTCTGAGTTCCGAGGAACACCGCACGGATCCCACCAGAACCAAAGAGATTCACATCGGTCCCACCAATCTGCACCACCATGTGTGCCAAGGCACCACTACTTTTCTTCACTTTGGTCTTCACTGTGAAGGGCGGCGCAAAACGCCGGGCCAAGGTCAAGTGAGCGTGGCTGTATTGGTTCGAGAAGACCGCTGCCCCGTTGGAGACCGAGACATTGGTAATCCAGGAGGAGGGATCACTTCCATGTGGAAGGGACCAAAAGGTGGAGTCGAAGATGGCAAAGTCATCACGCAGAACGTTTCCGGTGTCCAGCGCGGCCAACGGAACATCGAACAAGCGGTTCTGCGAGCTTCCCGCCCAGAAGACGTGGTATTGCGAGAAGGTCGCTTCCTGCTCCGGAGTGGCACGAGTGATGGTCAGAGCACCTGAGATCATGCCCCGTCGACCATCCACATCTGCGAACTGGAGGTCCGTGGCGCCGAAGGCTGGAAGTCCAGTGAAGTTGTGGAGGGTGTAGAGGATGGGCACCTCGCGCGAATAGAGAACCTCATTGAAGACACCCCAGATTCGCAGCCGAGCACGATACTCCCCATAATCTAGGCCAGTCCCACCCAGTTGCAACACCACTGTAGTCGATCCCTGAGCTGGAATCGTCACGGTGCCAGCGCTGATGGCGCTGCCGAACATCCGAATCCATGCAAACTCGCCGGCCATCGCCAGCGCGGCATGGGCATTCAACAGCGCTCCGGTCGAGACTTTGGAGGCGAACTTGGCATAGGGCACCGCGGAATTCAAGATCACATTGCGCAGCTCCGTGAAAGGCATGTTGTGGACATAGTCCAGGACCAAGGCTGCCACTCCAGAGACGTGAGGCGTGGCCATGGAGGTTCCGGACAAGGAGACGTACTCTCCGTTGGTGTAGGTACTCAGGATGCTGGAGCCTGGAGCTGCGATGTGCACATTGTTCACACCCCAGTTGGAGAAAGATGACATGTCATTGCTTCGATCGGTGGATGCCACGCAAATCATGTTGGGCAAGTTGTAGTTGCAAGGGTATGTTGACACCACATCATTGTCCTGTCCATCGTTTCCAGCCGCCACGATAAACAATTGGTTTGCAGCCGCTGCTTCATTGATGGCTGTTTCAAGACCGACGGAGAAGCCACCTCCACCCCAACTATTGGAAGTAATGTGAGCTCCCATTTGCACCGCATAGTCTAAAGCTCGAATCGCATCGATGGTGCTACCACCATTGGGACCCAAAAAGCGCAAGGCCATGATCTGCGGCTTCCAGGTCACGCCCACAACCCCGATGGAATTGCCACCTTCTGCACCAATGGTGCCTGCACAATGTGTGCCGTGCCCATTCCCATCCATCGGATCCCCGTCATCCTCGTAGAAGTCGTAGCCATAGACATCATCCACGAAGCCGTTGCCATCATTGTCGATGCCATCTCCAGGAATTTCTCCAGGATTTCTCCACATCTGATTCCTCAAGTCTTCATGGTTATAGTCTACTCCTGTGTCAAGGACCGCAACAATCACTCGACCAGACAAGCCCTTGTGAATACTCCATGCCTCTGGAGCATCAATATCATTGTCATTGGACTGATGCAAACCCCACATGTCATCATATTCTGGATCGTTTGGATGACTCGCTCTAGCGGTCTTCGAACCACAGCTTCTACATTGACCTCTTCGATGCATATGGCCTCGGCGAAGCTCAGACTTTGGTGCTTTGCCACCAGGGAGGAACAAATCGAAGTCGGTCTGAGCTCTGCCAAGTGGAAACCATTGCTGATCCTGTGTCGGTCACGCTGATTTCATCGACGTTCGTGACGTGAAAAACACAAACAGAAAGACAGCCAGCAACCGCCAGCAACACTCGACCCTTTCGGCCAGGATCTCGGCCTTATTTAAACACTACCAGCGACTTCCCCCAGCTGAAATGAGGCAAAAGACCATTATATAGACGGAAAAATCATATAGAAAGAATCTTCCAGATTCTTCCAGCATTTTTCTTTACAAAGCAAGACCCCCAGATGCTTCAGAGGGCCCCATGAAGCGTTTTTGCCAGGGATGAGATGGGATGAGCAAGATGGGACAAGTAAGAGATGTGATCGAAGCATTTCGAAGCCGTGTAGCTTGCAGGAGCTTGCAGGAGCAGCACTCAAGAAACTCGGGGGGGAAAGAGACATGAAGAGACCAAGACCTGCGGCAGCTGCTCCAGACATCCTTAGGCTTCTTGGGGCTGACTGCGGACTCCGCCGAAACGACTTCCCCGGGCACCAAGCATTGCTAAACCTTCGCAAGTGGGCGATTGATGAAAAATTGTGAAGTGGTTAGTTTGACTTCTTGAAATGTTTTGTCTAAACCTCCCAATCATGCAGCCAGTGTTTTCTTACTTGTTTTTCATGTCTTTGGACTGCCAAACTTGACGTTTGTGCGAATAAGACGTATCAGGCTTCCGTCGACCACTCAGAGTGTCCTCTTCAGAGGACAGAATGACCACGCGCGCGCCAGCACGCAGTGCGCAGATCAAAGGCACTGAGGGCCAACGGCTTTGGTGCTGACCAATACCAACCAGAGAGATCAAGCGACAGAAACAGCGGAGTCCATCGTTTTGCCGATTTGTGGATGCACTTCGCTGGCTCTCCGGAGCTTCCATCCAACACAACGAGACTCGAGTCTGGTTCATTCTGCGTCGCGTCTAACAGGGATTGGTCTGGCCTCAAACTGGTCAGCAGTCGCAGCAGGGTACAAATCAGGATCTCTGTTTCTCTTTGCAAACTTTGCACCGTCTTTCTGCTTCTTCCGCTTTCTTGCTGAATTTGTCCGGCCAAGTCTACAGAAGTTCCGTTCCGCATCGAGGACATGCCCGGTGGCAAAACATGGGGATGCAAATGGATCAGGGACCTTGAGATGGATCTGGGGGGATCGGGAGCCAACCTTAGAGACCCTTTCTGTTGATTCACCAAGTTTGTATCATTTGGTGCGCAAACAGCTTAATCGTTGGTAGCAAAGGTCAACTGAGGACAACCTCCTGAGCATGACCAAAGTTCAAAGTCAACACAAAATGCATCAAAGAAAGATAAGAGAATACAAGAGAATAGAGGAAAAGAGAGAAGCAAAGGGGAGAACATGAAAATGGTGTACAGTAACATGGTGTAACTCAAGCAACATCAGCTCGTGAAACATGGCAGACTGCAAGGCAGTCCTCTTCTACAAACTCTACCATGGGGTCATTCCTGAGTTCTGCATAGAGTCTGCAATAGCTTTGCACTGAACGATTCTTGGTCTCGGCAAATGACAGCTGGCCAATGTGCAAGTTCTTCACTTTGGCTCCATGGGTGCTTTCAAGCTTGCGCGCATGCGCTTCACGCAAACGCCGAGCCGTTCCAGATCCTTTGGTCACTCCCTTCATCTTGTAGATGAGCCGGTGCTTGGAACTGCTTCCAGCGTGCGAGGCGTCCAAACATGCTGCGGGCAAGGAGCTGGAGGAGAGGCTGGAAGCACCGGATGTCCCTGAGTTGGTCGAAGCGTCACCACTTTCGGCCGAAGCATCTTCCATGATGAGCTCAATGCTTAGTGTGGTGGCTGCACTTGCAGCATTGCTCAATTGAATGGAGACATTGTGGAGGGAGTTTGGAGTTCCCAGCTCATCTAAGCTTTGCGGTGACAAGGTCAATCCGATGTTGTCCACCAAAGCTGTTGATGCACCACGAGCTGCGATGCCACCCGCACCCACCGCCACGGCCACCAAGTGCGAGGCACCCGGCCTCACGGCCACGCGTGGAATCGTGACCACGGCAGATGTCCCGGTTAACCCAGTGACAGCCAAGCGACCCAAGGAGCCTAAGGCGACCCAAGGAGCACCGGTCACGTTGCCGAAGAAGACCTCATAGGCGATCACATTGCTTTCATCACTGGCGCGCTCCACGGTACAGGTGCCCTGCAGATATCCGATGCTGTTGTCACTATCGACACATTCCACCGATTCAGGCACCACCTGAAGGGTAGATGTTCACAAAAAGGATATCAAAGGAATCGCAAAGTAATGAGTTCTGCTGCATCGAAGACATTCAAACACCCTCCGGGCCTAATGGACTCCGGGCTTAATGGACTCAAGGGGCCCTGAAGAGAAAGACGGCTTTCTGAGGTGAAGTGAGTACTTCATCCCATACTTGAAGGAAGTCTAAGTCACATATCTTCCATTTATATAAATTAAAGGGGCATTCGCTAGTAGTAACAAGGGCATTACTACTAGTAGCTAGCTAGGCTAGAAGCTACTAGTAGCAAGGCGTTTTAAGGTCCTTTTTGATCCATGATGATCCATCTATATCCATCTCCCATCAGCTCCCCACCTGTGGCGGATTGTAATCTACCAGTGGCGTCGTGGCTCCCTGAGCCATCTCTCCACCGCTGGAGCTTGAAACGATCAGCAAGTCGGTGGCACCTGCGGGGATCGCGCTGCGAGGCACAGGGATGTTCAAGGAACTTGTACTTGCAGACTCATAGAGGAACACCCAACCGCTCATGGTCACCGAATAGTCCGAGCGCCAAGTAATTTCATGGGTTCCTTCTGGGATGTAGATCTCCTCTGGAGGACCACTGGGTTGACCACTTCCACTGTAGGGGGTGCCCATGACGGTCAAAAAGTCGTAGTTTTCCTCCGTAATGAACAGGGTGAAGCGCAAGCGCCCCGGCCCGGTAATGGCCATGTTGGCAAATTCTTCATTGTCATAGGACCCCCTTGAGACCTGGAAGGCCCCTGCCACTTCGTTGATGGTGATATGCGAGCATGTGATGCCGCTGCACGTCGGCCGCGGCAGGATGCTGGTGGAGGGTGCGGAACCAATGAAACTGATCTTGGTCTGACCACTGGAGAAGTACAACTTGTACTCTTCGATCGTGGACTCGTCTTGGGCCCTGATCCCATAAGCAGTGCCACTCACATAGCCAGCACTTTCATCCTCATCGGTGAAATTCAGACCCTGCGGGCCCTCTTGGGCCGGGTGGTAATCAATCACCTCTGCGCTAACGCCAGACACGGATTCGCCCTGGCTGGAAGCGGAATAGGCCAAGAGATGCGTGGCATTCGTTGGAAGGACCGTCTCATTGAGGCTCACAGTCAAGTTCGTGCCTGCGGTGGTGGCAGGCACAACGAGCACCACAGAGCTTCCGGGCAGAATTGTGGAAGAGTTCTGTCCCCAGTACACGCGATATTCTGAGACTCCAGAATGACTCCGAGCTTGCAGAATGGTCACGGTGCCTGCCACACGCCCACTGGAAGGATTCGTATCTTCGAACCAGAGATTTTGAGGACTTTGGTTTGGAGGCGCAAAATCAGCGACTGCCGTTGCAGCACACGACGCCGTATATTCTGCTCCATTGGCCACTGAAAACACGATCATGCTGTTCACGGTGCCATCGAAGGCCGTGGAGGGTAAACTATAGGAGATGTCTCCAAAAGTGCTGTAGGATTGGAAGCTCAGCGCCCATCCGCGCATCGTCACCGAAAAGTCCGAGACCCACTCGATCTCCTGCCGCCCGGCGCCCAGCTCCACGTCCGCAGGCACCGTGGTGCCCGAGAAGCTCGCGGAGCCCACGCGGAGGATGTCGTAGCTGCGCTCGGTCTCGAAGCGCGTGAAGTGCACCAAACCGGGACCTTCCACCTGGATGATTGCATGCTCATGGTTTTCATAGCCATCCATGCCTCGACTGATGACCCATTGACCTGCTGTCTCTTGAAGAATGGTGATCATAGCACAGCTACTGCCCTCAAAGCAGGTGGGACCACCACCCGGTGAGACGGGGATGTTGGCAATGGCACTGCCCACCGCAGTACAAGCTCCGCTGCTGAGGTACAAATTGTAGGCGGAAACTCCAGAGCTGCTGGCTGCCCGCTGGATGGTGACGGTGCCACCGATCTGCATGGCGATCGCATCAGTGTCTTGGAAAGACAAGCCACCTGAGGGGGTCCACGACGAAATGTGTGGCAGTTCAAACTAAGAATAAACAAAAAAAACTTAGCTATGGAGGGGGAGATTGAAAGCATGTTGCTCCCAGAGTCTGTGCGGGGAAACATGTCACAGATCTCATGGACATGTCTTCAGGTTGATGTCTGCCTTCGCACCTCAACATGTTGCCACGCATTTAACATGCCAGTTTTCTCTTTGTTGGCGTCGTCGTCTTAAAGTGCTCATACAGCGTTTGGGCCATGCAGTGCCGAACCCCTGCGCCAGGCTGTCTTGGTGTTCACCACATCTTACGGCGCTACGTCTTAAGGCCTGACCATTACTCCTTGAGTTTGTCTGACCATTACAGTGGGCTCAGAGTAGATGGCGCAATCCCCAAAAGGTGGTTGTATGGATCCCCATCCAAAAACATCTTGGCGGTTGGGCCATCTACTCTGAAACCATTGTATTGTCCTTCCATTTGGACGAGTTTCCTATCTGCCAAGCAAACCAATCGCGAGTTATCTTTACTGCGCAAATTCGAATGTCGTCCACATGCGCCTTCCTTGCTCTTCTGTGTTTGGCGAGTGGGTTAGCTTAAGCAGCAGACATGCACCCGGTTCCTAGTAGCGTCCAACCGCTCCTAGTAGCGATGCCAGGAGCCCCTAGTAATAGTAGCATCCTTGTTCCTAGCAGCTTCTAGCTACTATATTGCTTTCTGGAATATCTTGATATTTTCCTAACAAGTATTTCTGACGCAAACTGCTCACTGAAGAGAAGTACATCAATGTCTGAACAGTTGTTCTTCAATCATTACACAATAATCCACAAAAATGGCAACGGTTCCCCCCCCCTCTGCGCGACTTCCCAAGTGTCACCAAAGAAAAAGAGAGATATTCAGAAATGCGGAAATGATTTGAAGAAAACTATTCCATATGTTCTCAAGGCACAGATGATGTAGAAACATTCAGAAGCATAGCTTCTATTGGATATGTTATTGTCATGATATGAGATGAAAAAAAAGAAAACTCACCTGGCACCAGCAACTCATCAACATCTGTAATCTGCACTGCAACATAGTTGGCACCCCTTCCATCACTAGCTGTTGTGAAGCCAAGGAAATGAGTCGCTCCAACAGGCTTCACGGTGTTCGGCGCCACCAAGATCTCCACGGCGCCTGAACCTTTTGGAACTTCACCCACCAAACCTTGGATTGGCGGCTCCGTTCCGGAACTCTGGGAGAGAAAAGAACAAACAACACATGCATCTTCCCCAGGTTTGGGGATTCAACTCCTATTTTGGAGGGGGGAAAACAACCCCATCACCTGGAACCCGCAGCCAAAACCAGGAAACCGTAGTACGTGGTGGTGGAACTCCCAACTCCGGAGCCCCAGTACACCGCATAGCCCGTGACCTCCGCCTCGTCGCTCGCTCGTCCGAGAGTGATGAGGCCCCCGAGCTCACCGGGGGAGGCGTCGGTGTCCGTGAAGGCGATGGAGGCCGGGGTCGCCTGGATGGGTGCGAAGTCCACCAAGGGCACACTGATGCCACTGGTCATTTCCAAGCCATTCATCGAAGTGAAGACCAAGAAATGCGTCGCAGTGGCTGGAATGGACTGACTGCTGATGTTGAAGGTCAGATTGCCATCACTCGATCCGCCCGAAGGTGTTAGGCCTGCCACTTCTAGGACCCAAGGCAAAACGGCAGAAATGCGCGCGTAGATGCCTGGGTATTGTGCGTCAGCACAACCATATCCCCAAGAAGTAGCTCCATGCAAAACGTATCTGCCATCTGGTCCAGCACAAACTAAAGGCCCACCACTGTCCCCTTGGCATGCATCAACAATACCAGAGGAGGAAGTCCCTTGCGCGCAAAGCATGTCTTGTGTAATATCTTCATTGGCATATCGAGAAGCGCACTCAGAATTGCTAAGGGTCAGAACCATTCCTTCCTGCACAATTGAAGGTGAGCTTCCACCGCTCGACAGAGTCCCCCAACCAGTAATAAAGCATTCTTGCCCGACGATCACCTCTTCACTTGGCAAGCAAACGGAAGCGGCGCAGTCACCCATCTCTACCTCCTGTTCAAGTTCGATGAGTGCAAAGTCATGTGTAAATGACGAGGAGGTATAATTGGGATTCACAATGGTACGAAGCACCGCATGCTCCCGCTCATGCTGATCCTCAGAGGAATCCTTGTTGTGGTCTCCGATGACCACCGTGAAGCTGGATCCATCGATACAATGAGCCGCTGTCATGGCCCACTTGGGAGAAAGCAGTGAGGCGCCGCAGAAATGATGGCCACTGATGCCTCCCCAACGAAGGCTGATTTGCCATCTCCATTCACACTCACTGGCAGCCTGGCCATTCACAATCTTGGGTCCATTCACACCATTCCTCGAAAAGCGAAAGGGAGTGGTATCTGGGCCTTTCGCACCGCAAGAAGTCGACCCACCACTTCCACTGCCTGCACTCACTCGACCCAGAAGACTGAGCTTGCTCGTTGCTGAGCTGCCCCAGTAGATCACGTAGTGTGAGACATTGCTTTGATCCGCTGCCGGCTGCACCAGAATGCTACCAGCAATCTGCCCAGAAGTTGGATCTTCATCTGTGAAGTAGATTCCACTTGCTGTAACTGTGGGTGCAAAGGCATCCGAGATTTCAGTGGAAGACACATTGAATCCCTCACCCTCAGCGGAATATGCTTTCACCAATAAGTGAGAGGCTTCTTCCGGTACGGCTAGGTTCTGAATCTGATAGACCGTATTGCCAGACGCTGCAGCTGCAACCTGCCCGATGAATGCATTGTTCAAGGAACCATACCGCAAGACTCGTGCGGGTACAACGACCTGCTGATTGCTGGTGTCAGGGCCACCATATTCCAGAACAATGCCATAGGACCCTGCACCGTTGAAGAACAGAACTTCCAAACTGTGCAGGCCAGACAAGAGGAACAAATCCCCACTTCTGGACTGCCAGAAGTGAGTTCCGCTGTTGTCCACCAACATGGCACCGTTGATGAAGAGTTGGCTACCATCATCCGAAGAAAGGGTGAAAATGTAGGAGCCTGCAGTGGTGATGTTGATGTAACCCCTCCAGCGAGCAGCAAAATTCTCGGAGCTCGTCAGACCGGGCCAAGCGGTGGTCGTTTCAGGTTGATTCAATTGGGTCTCAATCTGCACCACATCTGGCGACAGCGAGGCGAAATCGGGCATGGCACCGCTTGGGGCGCTGGACAAGTAGAAGTACTCTCCTGACAATCCGGCACTTCCAGGGAGGATCTGGTTGTTGCTGTCCCTACCCCAGTAGATATTGAAGCCAACAACACCTGACGATCCTTCTCCAATCACAAGGTCTCCACCAATGTATCCAGCAGCACTGTCGGTGTCCATGAAGGTGACTGCGCCAAGCCCAAGGTCAGGAGGGGCCAAATCCTCAATTTGGATGGCGACCGAGGCGTCACTCTCGCTGGAATTGTAAGCGCTCTTCACAATGAAGTGACTTCCCAGAAGACTTTGCCTCTCCAATAGCACCGAAATGTCTTGGGATCCTGAAGGCTTTGGTACCAAAGCAATAAGACCCGGTGTACTGGACAATGCACCTGTGTACTGATATGTGAAGCTCCATCCGTTGCTGGTGACACTATAGTCACTAGACCATTCCACCGAGTGAAAACCATCAGGCAAGGTGATGGGGTCAGGAAGCTGATTGTAACCACTGATGGGCGAATGATCTGGGAAATAAAGCTTGTCACAGCAAGTCTCCGTTGACAGAAAGCTGAAGTGGACTTCGGCTGGACCAGTCAGGGTGATGAAGGCTTGCTCATGGTTTCCATACTCGCCACGTGAAACAACCCACTCATTCTGCTGGGAGCCATCTGCTATCACAATGTCCCCACAAGCAACACCTGTGCATGATGGTTGCATGGTTCCGGAAGAAGTCACCAAACGCCTGACAGTTGTATCCAAAATCTCAGTGGCACTTGAACCCCAGTAAATCTTGTAGAAGTTGATGTCATGTTCATTCTGCGCACGCTTGATCGTAATGACTCCCTGAATCATGTTGGGCTCCGGATCGTTGTCAGTGAAGTTCACCCCTTCAGCTGCCACGCTGGGCGTCACCAGATCCAGGAGCTCGGTACTGATGGAATACACGGAGTCAACACCACCAGCCGCACGTGCAAAGGCCAAGAGATGTGTGACGCCTGCCGGAATCACGCTGGGAGCCACCACAAGGGACAGTTCTGCACCCGCCTTGGGAGCGGTGGCCAAAGGATCCTGGCTTTGTGCCCCATGCCTGGCAAAGGCCCAAAGGCTTGACTCAAACCAGCTGGTGTCTTGACCGGAAATAAAGGCTGAGATGTATGAGGCGCCAACACATTGGAAATACTGCAGTTCGATTTGATGCAAACCGGCCATGAGTGTCATGTAGCTATAGCCACCCATGATCTCGACGCCCGCGACGTAGAGTCGGCTGCGGTCGTCTGATTCCACTCGAAACCAATAGTCTCCTGCATTTCGAATCTGAAACCAGCCAGTCCAGCGTGCTGCAAACAGCTCAGACCGGTCCAGACCCGGCCAGATGGAGAAACTCCCACCTGGTCTGGCTGCAGTGTACGCCGAAGTGTTCTCCACTTGTGTGAGGAAAGGGGTCCCAAGCGTGGAGAAATCTGGGAAGCAGGAGGAGCAAGGGCAGGTGGAAATCGAGAAGAACTCTGCACTCAATCCAGGTGCACCTCCTGGCATTCTCAATGTTGAGCTCACACCCCAGTACACTGCATAGTCCACCACTCCGGACTCATCTGAAGCAGCTCCAATGGTCACAGTTCCACTGATCTGATTGAGGGAGGGATCTGTATCATTGAAGCTAATGCTGGAGGGCACCACGGAAACTGTCACGTAGTCTGTCAGCAAGACTCCTGCGCCGGTTTGCATGGAGCTCCCTCCGTTCGCACTCACCACTACCAAGTGAGTCATCCCCGTGGGTAGCGCAGAGGAGTTCAGCACGATCGAAGACATGAGCACATGGCTCCAAGCTTGAACACTTCCTAGAGAGCCAAGGGAAAAGTCCGGAACAGAAGAGCTACTACCCCAATAAAGATCATAGTGTGTAATGGCCGACTGATTTGGAGCCACCGTGAAAGACACAACACCGGCAAAATGACCTGCCATGGGATCGGTGTCTGTGAAGGTCACACCGGAGGGAGCGCTTGTGGGAATGATCACGTCCGAGATGCTGACAGCCGCTGGCTGCAGGTTCTCTCCACCAGCTGAAGAACTGAAAGCCAACAAGTGGGATGCATTGGATGGCAAAGTTGTAGCTGCTAGATTCACTCCCAATGGACTGCCAGATGTGGACGTGCTCACGGAGGCAAGTACCTGCCCCAGCTTGGCCAACGCACTGGTCCCAAAGTAAATCCGGTAGTCTGAGATCTGCGATTCATCCGCTGCTCTGCCAATGGTCACCACTCCAGCAATGACGCCTGCAGCGCCATTCGTGTCATCAAAGGCCACCGAGCTGGGCGGCTGCGCCGGCGGCGCGAAGTCAACCAGGACGACCCAGCTCGCCGCCGAGGCGCTGCCGCTGGTCAAGCGGGCGAAGGTCAGGAGATGGTCTGCACCACTGGGTGGAGTGGTGGGTGGAAGGCTCGTTTCGAAGACACCACCCCCTGAACTTCCGGTGACGGTGAAGGGCAGGTCCACCGGAAAGGTCTGTCCATCCGAGGACAAGACCACGGTGCCCGCCTCATCTTTCAGTGCCCAAGAGATTTCGGAGGGCCAGTTTCCTTCCGTCACGGTGATGGTCAGCTCTGTTGATACCGGAATGTTGGTCAAAGTGTGTGCTGCAAAGTGACCCGTTTGGAAGGTGCCGGTTCCAAGTGTGACACCTCCTTGTTTGATGGTGTATTCAGCACTGTTCCAACCATCACCGTAGGAATCATACATCTCAAAGACCATTGTGACAGTCAGGGATCCAAGCGACAGCGACTCCACCAAATCAAGCTGTGTAGGGGCCACCCCTGCACCATTGCCACTCGCCCAATAGATCTCGTATGCTGTCACATCAGCCTGTCATATGTACCATGAGAATGCCATGTACAAAGCAGCAAAAAGAGCTTTTTTGTACCCAACCAAGCGCGTGTTTGCATCGGACTACGTTACGCGGAACTGTTAGGAAAGCAAAGCATCATAGTAGAGAGCAAGGGAAACTGACCCAAACACAACCGAACGCAAGGCATAGCAACCTATGAACACTCAAAGTCACGCATTCCCTGGACCCTAAAACCTGCGAAACGATTTGCTCAACTGACCTCCAGCCATTGAAAACAAAGTCCACTCCCAAAGCAAATTATATAAGTGAATGTGTGCTTTTCTGTGCTTGTTTTTTGTGCATTTCTTGTGCTGACCTTCTTTCCGTGCTGTTCCAATGGAGATTTCTCCACGACCGGTCGCTCCGCCTGTCGACTTGGCGGACCAAGCAGTCGTTCGTGAAGGATGCGGTGGAGCGGATGAGACCGGTTCACTTACTGTAATGACCGCGGTGGCCCTTCGAGTTCGATTCTGTTGCCGTTGCCGAGTTCGCATCTGCCGACTGCGTCACCAATGATTTTTTCATACCGACCGTCTTAGACTCGTGGCATGCGGTGGCCATAGGGTCTGAAGACCCCGGCTTGGCTCAAGTACTTCAGCGACGTACGTTGCTCAAGTACGTGCGGGCGCCCCTCATTGCATTGACGCTGGTTGCACAGGCACCCAGGAGTTTCTTGGATTGACCGCAGTTGCTCGCTTCCTTGACCCGTACTGCGACCGGACTCGCGCCCCGCGTTCTCCCCCTCGGTCGGCGA